AGCTATTATTATAATAAGCAAACAGTGTTTTCCAAACATCTATCTGAATGTCGTCTTAAAATATTTACACAATATATGTATAATAAATAGAAAAACATCCACACTAATGAGTTAAATGAGGAAATAATTATGGCAATAATAATATTTATTATACTAATTGTGTATACTCTATGCTTTTAAAAATTTACGGCTTTAATTTTGATTTACGATTATCTATTTGTTTTTTTTTTAATTCAGAAATAACAAATCTTCTATGTAGTCATGGACAAATTACCATAGAGCAATTTGTGCATTACGATACGAAAACTTACAAAAACTGCTAAAAAATTAACATAATATTATGCTAAGTAAGTATATGCATCCTTGTGTTTTCTATTAAAGCGCTATATTCAAATGTTTTTTGTATTTAGTATTTCGAGATATCTATATTTTATACTCATTACTTCTATCGTTAAATATATAAGATGAAATAAGTATTCCTCGCTATCTACATTAATACTTATATATAGTAAAGCTAAAGCGATTGATTGTTGGTTGGTTTGTTTGAACATCACACTACGACCTTTAGAAGCAGATTATTCACGAATCGATTGCTTTATTTAAGGTTTCCTTCATATATCCACATATTTACGTGGTCTTTTCTATAAAATTATTTTAAAGGCCCATGAATGCCATAAAATATTTTTTATCCCAGAACACCAAATGATACCAGTAGATATCCAGTAGATCAATAATAGTAAATAGAAAAAATAGTATCAATATATAAGAAATATCGGTAGTCGGTAATTGAAAGCGTGAACAGGCGTGACGGTTATAAGATCTAATACATAACTGACTTATTTTATGTGGCTCGTGACGCCTTGGCAATAACACGGAACTTTATCTTTGAACATTAGAAATTGAACTTGCCATTTTTAACGTCATTTTGCCTTTCGCTTTGCTTTATAGTTTTTACATTTTTTTTATCGTAAAAATTATCGTGATACTATGTAGAATTAGTCGAATATATTTATTTGGACAATTTTAATTACGTATTTGATTAAGAAATGCAATTTGATTATAATGAAATTTAAATAATATGTAATTTGACACATGACAGTGCTTAAAAACTTTTGGCATTTTGGACTTTTTGTATTTGCTGAAAATGAAATGAAAAATTAAAAAAAAACATTGTTTTTAATTTTGCTAGCACCAACTAGAAATTGTAATTAAAGTTCTGATATAATATTTGATAGCTAGTGTCACTATACTCTAAATATAAATATTAATCTATTTAATATATAATATATTATTCTGACACCTTGACACTTCATTTACCTAACTGTCCGTTTGTAGTCTCATTGAATATTTTCCTTATCTGAACGATCGGTGAGCTAAACGCTAAGCGTGGGAAACGACTTAGTTACGTATTCCTTAGTACCCTGGATTAACTATTAATAGTATTTATTGCGAGAGATGGTCATCCATGACGTTACTTCATTTATAAATGTCTAAATGTAAGGAAATAAACAAAATAATGTTGGTAACACTGAAAATAAGAAATATTTCCCTGATAATTTGTAGCAGTTTACTAACAGTATTACTGGTATCGTCTCTATCTCTTAGGTCGCGAGTTCGATTCTGAATGTGGCCAATATTTTATTTTTGCCATCTATTGCAAGTATTGGTTTCGATTTTGCATCGTTGAGAAACATAGATTATGAGGACTGTATATCAGAAATTTATGGCAAGTCATATCTATAATAAATATGAGAGGTATAGTACAATAATATAAATGTACATATGTTCTTTATGTATGTATATGCAACTTTATGCCCGAATCTTCCAGGGCCGACCACAAGCTTATTTATAAAAGAAATAATTCGACATTGAAACACATCGAGAGTAATTTATTATGTTATTATAAGCTAAGTATCCAAAGAATGTCTAATTATTGTAATTTTATCATACAAGTTAACTTTAACTCTATATTGAGCTTTTAAGGTCTAAATATAAAAGCTCTACAAAATAGAAAGTCATTCAACAACTTTACCATTGAGGTAGGTCGTATTACCGAATTGAATAAAATAGCAATAAATATTCCAAATTTAGTCATGTAATACACTGTTTATTGCCTCTTTTAAGGAATGGGATCATCCGTCATTTATTATACTAAGTCTGTAGTGAAATGTTTTTAGTAAAGCAACCAGAGTAACCAATATTACAAGTTCATTTGTTACTGTTTGAGCTGCATTTGACATTATATATTATACAATTATGGAGGGCTAGAGGTAAAAAGGAGTCTCTTATATGTGAGACAAGTTGAAAAAGTGTCCACCTGTATGCTGAAAATAGATGGCGCTGGCGTACGAAAAACTACGACATGAATTAAGCTGTTGTAGACGATGTGAAGTGCTCTGAGTTGAAAAATGAAAAATTTTTCATGACTAAAGTATTTAATGAAATACCAGTATACAAAACCTCAACTATTTACGTACTCTAAAATAATTTAGTAAATATAACCATCCTTGTTTATTTCTTTATTTTAATCTACTTACTTTTGGTGCTTTCTTTAAAATTTATCCTACGCTACCGCAGCGCCACCCATATCGGACGTGTTTTGACGGACACTCTTTCATACACAGTGGTTCGTCCCCTACTTTACGTACCATATATATATTACAATAATATATATACATATAATGTCCTAGAAAAATCGCCTTAGATTCTAAGCGATATCTATACTTAGCGCATATATGTAGCTAGAGTGAACAGTAGAAAAAAACCGTACACATTGATTACCAGTTACCACTGTGGTAATATATGTGTAGTAATATCACACGTGCTATGATTTACCTGCAGACTAACTGTACGGGCAAAACTTCGCAGGTGCGTGTATATCCACTTAAGGCAAGTCGATTTTCTACTATCGATATCGTTAATAGAAAGATAGAAAATAAAAAGATAAGGATGAATTCTGTAAATTAATATTTAAACGTATATTTATTAATTTTATGCATATATTAGTTTTCGTTTCGCGATAGATGATCATTTTATTGTTGCATATCATCTTGTCTAATCCTTTTTAAGATCAACCCGATAGTATCTGCGACTATAGGTTCAATTCTTGCACGTCTCACATTGTTTTTTTACGAACTTCCCAACTTTAGTACGTGTGATGAGTTCATATCCGTCTTATACTTAACTTACTAAGTAAAATAATAATGAATAGTACGATGGCAAACGAAGACGCGCGCCAGAGCTAGGTTAATTCTTAGAAAGTCATGGACCACGATACCATTGCAAGATGTAAACAAATAAATCTTCATTAAAACCACGTAAAAAGGAATTAAATGTGCCTCTTATTTAGACATATGTAGAGATGCTTCGTAATCTAATTAGATTAAACCAAGTTATTAAACGTATGGCTCTCGCTTGGGATGAAATAAAAGAATAAAAACACTATGCAGTCGCGCGCATCCCGATACTGAGTGACGTTTCAATTAAAAATAATTTATTTATAACATCGAGCCACCCGCGAGTCGATATCGATCTTTTGTTAGGCGGCACATCTCTAAAGCTTCTTTGCCTTTTGTGTGGATAGTGTTGTTACATTTCTCTTTTGTCTGTGATAATTATCGATGAATTGATTCACCGTACAAAGGGCGATGGGCTATTTTGAAAATCATTCAGTTATTTTTTAATGAACATGCTCTGTTAGTTTACGCTTAATTTTCATAGCTCGAGTGTTATTATATGTTTTTTTTGTTCAATGTTAATTTTACCGTGAGACTTTGTATGAATGATACACGATACAATAATCTTTATAGAAATTAAAGCAATATCTATACCTACGTATCAGAATTTTTACTTTTAATTTATAAAAGACTAGCGGCTCACTCTCGTTTTGCTCGGGTTCGCCTCTAGAAAAACAAAAACAAATCTATCCCTCGGGAACCGTACATTTTAAATGATAAAAAGTACGTGCTATTTCAGACTATATTCTATATTTGAGCCAAATTTCATCCAGGTCCGTTCAGCCGTTCGGGCGTGCTATAGTAACAAATATCCAAACATCCAAACACCCATCTAAGTTTTAACATTTATAATATTAGTATAGGTTTTAATTAAAAGAGTCTTCACATTAGAGCATTTAAAAGGTTTTAAAGTTATGAGTTTTCTAATAATTCAAAATAAAATTTCATTTTCTAAGAAATAAAAAATAAAGAAACGGTTTGGCTAAAAAAATCACGCATATATTTTAAGAAAAGCCGGTAAATAACTATATATATGTATATATATATATATATATATATATATATATATATATATATATATATAGTCATGGCCATATATAATTTGAACACCATTAAATATAAATCCCTAGCATTTAATTTTCTTGTCTGAGTTAGTAGTTTAAAACCAACAAGATAATAAATCTGTCGCAATATTTAACATTATTTTAATTTTGATTATAATATACACGTAAAGTGCAATAAAATATATCAACTATTTTATATGCACGCAGTCTTCACTTATTTACTTGCCCAGCGGCAAATTAGAAGGGCTGGCTTGATAATGTCGGTTCGTCACTTTGATATATAGCCTGAGTGTAGTTAAAGATCCCGGCTATCTAGGTCTCGTTTATCTAGCCATCTAACTTAACTTTCTAGGTCGTACCTTAGAAGTGGATTCGGATAATTTAAATTGTAATATGGAAATAGCTTATTAGTTTCTATGGTATATTATGTATTTGATGGTAGTCATTCTGCATATACGAACTCGATGTTTCTATGAACTTCTATCCACTGGTCTATCAGTGTCTCCATAACAAATGGCATAACATAATATTATGATAACTTAATATACCTAAGTCGGTTGGTCTTGGTTTAGTTTGACTCTGGCCTTTTTTCTTTTCAATAAATTTAAAAGCGAAAATCGAAGTAACAATAATAAGATCTGTTTATTCTACAATATAATATGCGTCGAAGCAGTTATACCTATGCTTATAAGCTATTTACCTTTTAGATTTGTGCCAGCAAAGTAGTCGTGTTAGATCGACCTGTAACGAATATAAATAGTTAATTAGACATTAGTATAAGAAATTATACTTAAGTATATGGTCTCCAGTCACCGTTTTGTCAGATGGTGTTAATACATATTATCTTAAAATGAGTATAATAAATTCTACTTAAAAAAACACGCTTTGATGATCCGAACTAATAAGTTATAAATTTTTTTTAGTTTATGAATAAAATGATTAACGAGAAAAATTATGAAATATGATAAATGTGCTAAATTTCAAATTGATCTGACGTTTTGAAGTGGGTAGAAATCGCGTTCAAAGATACTCTTACAGGTGAAGCTAATAAAAGTTGAACTCAATCAATAATTTTTTTCTTAGCTGTTACCTACGTCATCTATACATATATTAAAATTGTAACTGAGTCGAATCTGTACATTAAATATTTTTTGGAAAATCTTATTGAGATAGTCATTATTATCGATACAGAGGCTGAATCTGTAGTTTTTTGAATTTTTGTTTGTCTATCTGGGAACGCATCACGAGAAAACCACTGGACAGATTTTAATTAAAATTTGGTATGACGATAGCTGGTTATCCGGATCAATATATAGGATACTTTTTATTGCGGTAAAATATCAAAAAAAAAGGTAGAGGTTGTCAATTTTTTTCTAAAAAATCAAATAATCTTTACATAGTAGGTACACAGTACAGATATTTGAACAACCCTAAAAAACAACGCTACCCTAGTTCTAACTCTTAAACCAAAAATTAAATTATTCGTAGAATGAGCATGATGAGCAAGACAACGCTAACTGAAGGTAAATGTGGATTGTTAGTCATAGTTTAATAAGACAGCTTGTCGTTGTCACAATGTCTGTCTGTTCGGCAGACGCGGAAACTTGGTGGATTCAAATCGCTTAGTGATTACATATGCGATAATAGAAATAGGCAATATTATTTTAATGGAGGACTGGTATTTTATAGGCTTTGGAATACTTGTGGTGTAGTTTAAAAGTCAAAGCGAGGAAAAAATAGAATTTGGAGGTTGTTTTTTCTAACAATATTAATAATAATAATGTTTTCCTGACCGATTCCGGCCTCGGCGGCCAATCTCATTGTGAGTAGCCAACTGCGCAGGAGATATTATAATGCACAAGTGTACGCGCAGACACAACGTGCACTCTCTATACCTGTCACTCTCATACTCTGGTGGGACGACTGCTAGACACGACCAGTGAGAGTTGAGGCGCAGGACCGACGGCTTTACGTGCTTTCCAAGGCACGGGGGTGAAACACCGCCAACTTCCCAACTCCGGGCTGTCACGGAGGCTTACTATACAGGAAGACTCATTAACTAAACTTGACCCGGGACTCGAACCCAGGACCTCCGGGTGTGCAGCCGTACATGCTAGCCACTACACCACTGAGGCAGTTAGTAAGGATCGAGGAGATGTAACAATATTAATTACACTAGTTCAGGCGATATTATAATGTAGCTATAGTTTAGAACTTAGTTCTATATACTTATAAGATTAATTTAAAGAAGCGTTAGCTGTTCCTACGTACTTATTTTTACAGCAGTTTTCTGTTTATTTAACTCTGTTTAACCCGTGGTTTCGCGCTAAAAGTACAAAAAAATCTCTACAAAGTTAGATTTCATACAAACTTTCATCCCCTATTTTACCTCCTTATGGGATGAATTTTGAAAAAAGCTAGAACACGTATTGATTTAATTGTATTGACAAGCATTAATACCAAGTTTCAAGTAATTCTGATCACAAATACTTTTTTGGGTTGTATTATAACGTGTTTTCCCTTGGGAATAAGATAATCTGTGATACGAAAAACACAATTTAAAAAAAATGTTGTCTGTTTGTCTGTTTATTCCGGCTAATCTCCGAAACGGCTGGACTGATTTTGACGGGACTTTTATTTTAGAAAAAGAAGGAAGTGACTAACGAGACACAAAAACGCGAAGAAACGCGAAACGCGACACTCGAAAAACTCGAAAAACGCGACACTCGACGACACGCGAAACTCGAAAATCTGATGGAAATATGCGACGTTGCCGTATTTCTTATGCCACTCGAAGACACTCGATTACTAACCTACAGAAAATAATCAGTAGTTTCTCGACTTAAGTTAACACTCAACTTTGAGTGTTAACACGACTGCTCAGTGAGGCTGTTTTTGAAATAAAGTTTATAAAATAAATTATAAGTTAGTGAAATAAATTATCACTTTATTCAATAAGTTCATTCAAGTTTATACAGAAAATTTATTTATTGAATTTACTTTTTACGTCTGTATGCGTTGAAATTCTCATTCGAAAAATTAACGACCAAGAAAATGTATTTATTTTTTATTTTCTTCCGTTCATTCGAGCACTTGTTTTTTGTAATTTATTCGTTATCGAGCACTTGTTTGTTTTGTGATTTATTTACAAATGTTTATTAATAAATTTATTGAACTATAATTGTACATTTTTTAAAGTACATTTTTTAAAACCTACACAAAATTGTCAGTAGTTTCTCAACTCAAGTTAACACTCAACTTTGAGTGTTGACACGACTTCTGAGTGAGGCTGTTTGTTAGGACTTAGCTACTATTTATTATGTTGAACTTTTAGGTAAAAATTAATGCATGAACTTGCAATATTATAAGTTTTATTTACATATACAAATAACGATAAAATTATACAAATATCCGTATACTTAAAATTTACTTATACTTAATGTACGTATCGAACGCTTGTCTCGGTCGTCCTTTGATCAAAGTTGGTTCCGGTACTTTAATCTCGCTAGTATTCAAGGTCGCACTATCATTTAAACTACAATCGCCATCTGACTCTTTAGCAATAACTGGAACATTCTTCTTCCACAGTGAGAGCAGTCGATTTAGTATTTTGATTTTTTTCTCTGACAACTGAATTTCTCGAGGAGTTTTTTTCATACAAAAAAGATGACGCCTTTTGTCATTTGTCGACTTCAACTTCAATGTACATTGAATAACATTCAATTCATTGTTTGTTATTTTTGAAAGTCGCACATTTTTCCCTTTCGCCCACAAATCCATCACATCATGCAAACAGTCACTCTTGTTCTGCAAGTTTTGATTCGCAGACAAGCTGCCTACGTGAGCCAGCAAGTTGAACGAAGTGTCATACTTCTTTGCAAGTTTTTCCAGTGTGACATGTTCGTTCGACTGCCTAATTTGTGTGACGCTACCGTTTGAGGATTGGCTACAATTAGGGAAGTGTGTGAGTTTGGAAATTTCAGTATCGCATTGTACACTATACCCTCTCAACCATCTTTCTGCACACAACGTTTTATCAAAAAGTGGTTGCTCGAAGAAATCACGAGTAGCAAATACATGTTTGCAAGGCAGAAACATTGAACGATTTTTCAGACATTTGCATTTAGTTAAAGAACTCGTGATTGTCCTTCCGTTTAATTCGAAAGAACACTCTTTTTGAGCGACATTGCTACTCATGATTTGAACGTCAGGGTACTCCAGCAGTTCTGGTTGCAATTCGGCAAAGGCTTTTGGAGTTAACAACTCACAATAGTTTTTTTCATCTGCGGTTGTAAAAGCTTCTGCTGATTTTGTAGTCATCAGTTTTCCGCTTTTGATCTTGATTTGACGCGCTTGTGCCCGAAAGAAAACAAAAATGTTTTTGCCGAACTCTACCAGACTGCTGTGTAGTGGAACTATTTGTTTACCCTTGGCATGTGTCGATTCTGCTCTATTATTTGTATTATTATTCAAATTTCCGTGAGCATTCATACGATACAGGACCCACTCGTCTTTTATCGAATGCCAGTTGGTGTTATAATAATCGATCACTTCTTCTGGAGCAACTTCACAAAATTCAGTGTACGTTTCATCGTAATCTTCCTCCGATTCGCTGTACACTAGTTTTCGCAAAATTAAAAGGAGGTCATCTTTTTCCTCGCTCGTTACCCCCCTTTTTCCAACAGTTATTTGTCGATGGAAAATTTGTTGGACGTGAAAACTGCAAATCAGGAGGTTAACTTCTGGAAAAATTTCCCTCAAGGCTGCTCTCTCAGAAGGATCCTTGTCGGTCATAATGGACCTAATTTTCAGACAAGCTTCAGGGTTGGCTTCACGAAAACATGTTAGAAGCCATTTGAAAGTTTCCGCCTCTTCGTTGGCTAGCAGGCCTACTCCGACGGTTCTAGTGAAGCCATTCGAGTCTTCTACGTGGAATAAGGATAACACAAAATTGTTGTTTAGGAGCCTGTACGTGCTGTCCCAGAACACGATATCAGACCACTTGCTCATTGCTTTCCGCATCTCTGGCGTACAAAAAAAAAATGGCTACTAATTCGCGCTTTTCATCGATCAGAGTTTGATATGATGCACCTATAACAACAAAAATTCGATTAGTTAATGATTAATATTTAAATTTCTCTGTTTTCAACTTCTATTGACAGTTACCTTCATTTTTAAGTATTTTTGTAAACTCCACGTAATCGTTCCCATTTTTAGTTGGTTCATGGCGACGCTTCAAGTTTGCAAGATCTTTTGAATCCCATTGTACGTTTTTTTTTGTTTCCAAATAATCGAACAATTTGGCCTTTTTTGGATCGAATTTCATTGTGTCGAGAACATATTGAGTAGTTTGGTCCGAAAGTCTTTTGTTCTCTGGGAGCGTATCAAAGTATTCCTGCAAATAGAAAAATTTAAAATCAAATAATTTTATTTCATTTTGAATTTGATTATTGAAAATGTGCCAACGACGATACACTATCCAATATAGCTTTTCGAATTGTGTCTTGCACATAACAATTTCAGGTAAATTTAATGTAGTTGCCAAAATAAATAAACAATGAAAAAATGTTGGTTCCATGTTCCATTCGAGTATAACACTCAAAGTTCAGTGTTTTCGAAGATTTTAATTTGTGTAAATAGTTTTCAGTTAGTTTTTTAAACAAAATTTGTATGCAATTAAAATTAAATTACTTAACACATTTATACAACTTCATACATTTATAATTTCAAATTTGTTAACAACCAGGTAAGTAAACAATGAAAAAATATTGCTTCCATGCTCCATTCGAGTAAAACACTCAAAGTTCAGTGTTTCCTAAGATTTTAATTTGTGTAAATGGTTTTCATTTAGTTTTTTAAACAAAGTTTGTATGCAATTATAATTGAATTACTTTACTCATTTATACAACTTCATACATTTATAATTTTTAAATTTGTTACCGATCAGGTAAATAAAAAATGAAAAACAAATTGCTTTCATGCTCCATCAAGTATTACACTCAAAGTTCAGTGTTTTATTTCTGGAAACTCTGCCATAGATTTTGCAATGTCCGAAATATTTGTATTTCATTCTGGGATTGATTATTGAAATTTAGCCAATGGCGATACTTTCAAATTTAGTTCTTTTTTTGTTATTTGAACAAAATTTATTAATATTTTTTTCGCTACAAAGGGGACAAAAATGTCGCGTCCGGCTTCCAAAGTTAAACATAAAATATTTTTGCAGTTTTAAAAATTCCTTCTAGGTACATGTTTCTATACCAAAATAATGAAAAGTCACAGAATTTCTAGTGTTAAGGCATTGTTTGATGAAAAAATGTAAGAATTGTTGTACGTAAAAATCTGTGTTATGATTCTGTTATGAAGTAATGATTCTGAATCTGAAGTTATGATTTTAGAAATTTGTGAGTGTAAATATTTATAACGTCGCCTGTTCGAAACTGAATTTTAGAAGTGAGCTAGTTACAGTTTAAATTCTGAAAACTTTTGATCTCAAAATTTAACTTTAAAAAAACTCGAAAAAATTATCGAGTTCTTGATTTCATGATTTATATTTGTAAATTGATACTCAATAAACAAACGCTCTCAGAAAACAACTTTTAAATGGAACACTCAAGTATTCAGTGCCTTCATCTCGAGTGACTCTTAGACACCAAAGATTGAAGTATAGTCATAATATATCCAATATATAACATTGGAAATTACCTCGAGGTCATCGTGTCCTGTATGGATCAGGTCCGCCTTCCTAATAACGAGATGTCGGCCCGTTTTATCGACAGTAGCCCTAACTTTTGCTTTGCATCCCATCTTTCTGGTCCTGTAATTTGATAGGGAATTTCAATTTCAATATGTTCAAAATTATTGTGAATTTCAAAACTCGAAATAAAACTTACCCTCGTTTCCGTTCTCCATTTGATTGTGATTCATATTCATGTCCACCGTACTTACAGCAATACAGGACAGTGTAATACTTAAACTTTTTTCGATTAATATTTCTGTGCGCGACTTGTTTGTCCTGGCTCGAAATTGAACTTCTCTTAGTGAAAAGCTGTCTTTTATCCCTTTGGTATTTTTTGAAGAACGTTAAAAATTTACGATCACAGTCAAATTTCATTCCTTTACTCAAAACCGACATTTTGAAAGAAAATCAACGAAACTTCACTAAAACGAATAAAGCGCTCATCGTGTTCCGAAATCAAGTGTGGTCTGAAAGCTTTTAGTACCTAAGGATACTGCCCTGATTTGCCCTTCCACAAAGTCACCTGCCAAACACGACTTATAATTGGAGGAAATTTCTTCCTACCGCTTTTGCGCCCGGCTTGCGAGACAGAGAGAGCGCTTACTTAGCGCTTACTTAAATCATCAACTCAATTTTTTAATAAACAAATGAAAACCTATTTTATTCTTTGCACTGATTTTTTAAGGAAACAAATGGAGAATTAATTGAGTATATTTCGTGAAATGAAAAATTGTCAAAAATAACAAAACAAAAACTTGTTATTGCGTCATGGTACGAACACATTAAATCTTGGCTTCTGATTAGCAGAGTAACCGGTGACGTTTTTTGGTCATTCGGACAGAAAATGAGAGAAGTTGTTTACAATCATCATTCAACATTTTTATTATAAAAGAATGAGAACAAGTTGTTATTTTATGTTTAATGTTATTTTCCGTCCACTTATCCAAGGCCCGTAGGCTTCGTAGGCTAAATATGTCTCGACCCTATGACTCATTTTTCTGGTCTTTGTACGTCTTTGTACTAATGGGTTTATTGTTTTATGACTGTCGTTCGACTCGATACATTTTGACCGTGTCTAATCGTTTGAAGGCGCTTTTGAATGTTTTCAATGTTATCTTAACAATGGAAGCAAATTTCGGAATTTGTCTTCGGAAATTAATTTATTACTTGTTTGAATGTTTTCAATCTTATCTGAAAAATGGAAACAAATTTCGGACTCTAATGGTTTGAAATTGATTGGAAGAAGAGTGATGATATAACACCGTTCACGATTTCTTGTTAATTATTACTAGTCAAGAAAACAAACGCTCTTGGACAAAAATCCGATTTTTAAATAGAATAACACTCAACTGTTGGGTGTCACGATTTTGAGTGACCCCAGATTGCCGAATAATATTGGAAAATTGAAAATGAGAATTAAAACGTCGACTGGTTAAATCTGGAATTCAAAAAACCCAGCATGTTTCAACTATCAGAAAAATATTATCAATTTTTACGATTTTATCCCCTCAACTCAGGCACGAGGTACTATTACTTCGAGCCTGTGACTCATTTTTTGAGTTTGGAACGCCTTTGTACTAATGGGTTTATTGTTTTATGACTGTATTGTGTCTTGTGTATTGTGTCTAATCGTTTTAACGAATATCGGAACGTTTGTATTCGTATCTGAAAAATGGAAAGGGAAAAAACTTTCCGAAGGACTCTGATTGGTTCGTTCAAAAATATGTTTCTGTGATTGGCTTTTTTGGAATGAACAAAGAGGTGAAGAAACATCGTTTGTACGTTGAACAAACGTCCGTTGGTTAGTTCACTTGCGGCGTCCATCGGACAGAGTAGAAGTCTAACAGTCAATCAACATTGAATAAAGGTAAGTTGAAAATATACAATAAAAATCTAAAAAACTAGCTGATGCCCCGTGCTCCGTCGCCGTAGTAGTTTTGTTCAGACATTTTGATCAAATATTTACTATTTTTATCAACATCTTTTTCAAAGTCCGATTGAAGTTGTTTGTTTATTTGTTGGCCTTTATCTATGCTCCGATACTAACTCAACTAACTCAAGTTAGTCAAGTTAGTTGAGTTAGTCAACTTTGAGTTAGTTAACTCAAGTAACTCAAAAAAAATTTCTAATCTTGATTTTAAAACATTTTAATGTATACTTTGGTTATTAAATATATTTTTAATTTTTTAGATCGATCCGATGGATCAGATAGATCAGATGGATCCGAGATTAGATGTATCCGATATTTTTCAACTCGGTCAAGAGGTGAAAAACTACGATGAAATAAAAAAACGTTTGGCGCTTCATAAAGAAAAAACTGGTATCGAGCTTTCCACTGGCAGATCTAGGTCTTTTGAGGTTTCAAATGTCAAAAGACCTGAGGGATGTCAACTAGATTATTATGAATACCAATATCACTGTCCAATGCGTGGTAAAACAGCTGAAAAAAATGCGAGGTAAGAATAAGTTATCAATACAAATTTTATATTTTTTTTTTTATATTTTTATAACATTTTTAGAAAGGGTGAATACCCGTTGAGTCGAATACATAATAATAATAAATACATGTACATATCTGATAACAAATTGATCATAATTATATTTTTTTAGGATCCAAAAAACTGGTTGCGAAATGCATGCTAAATACAAAGCAACCAAGCAAAAAGACGCTTACGTCCTTCACAGTTGCCACCCCATACACGATCACAGTTCTCCTACGATTGTAACTCAGAACGTCACCCCTGCACCCATAACAATTGCTAGTGCTTCAACAACAACACTATCACAAGAGATCATTGTAGTTAGTGAGAAGGAGCTTTCAACTAGCGGATCGAATGAAGACTCTAGTGAATCTGCTTTAGAGATTATTACGCCACAAGAAGGTATGATATTTGAATAATCAATGAAACAAAAAAGGTTTCGAGTATTGTTATTTATTATTTTTATTTTGTTATAGAACTGCTGGCAAACCAATCTTTGCAGAAATTGAAAGCGTGTCTTTTGAAGAGCAAAACCTTTGATCCTCGCATGGAGGCACTGACAGCCCTCATCAACTATTGGGAGGTTGATCTTGAAGTGGAAATCAATCCATGGTTTCCACTAGAAGATGCTGATTCTGAACCTGCCATTGAAGCTCGTACTGAACCTGCCGCTGAAACTTCATCTGAACATCGTACTGAACCTGCAGCTGAAATTTCATCTAAACCTCGCACTGAACCTGCCACTGGAACTTCATCTGAACCTCGCCCTGAACCTGCCGCTGGAACTTCATCTGAACCTCGTACTGAACCTGCCGCTAAAACTTCATCTGAACCTCGCACTGAACCTGCCGCTAAAACTTCATCTGAACCTCGCACTGAACCTGCCGCTAAAACTTCATCTGAACCTCGCACTGAACCTGCCGCTGAAACTTCATCTGAACCTCCTTCTGATTTTGACTCTGATCTCGATTGTGAACTTGATCCTGACTCTGATCTAGATAGTGAATCTGATCTCGAACCTGAATCTGATAATATCTCTAAAATAGGCCAACAATCATGCAACAAAGTGTCTATTATCACTAAATCAGGAATTGTGTCTCATTTTTCTGCCAACGACGATGACGTAACTTTACCGACAAAAATCACGACGAGGGGACGACCGACGGCCAAAAAACCAACAGCTATTGGAACACCGAGACAAGAGGTGACAGTGCCAAAAAATGCTAAAAAGCTTTCGTGTGAGTTGCGAAGTAGCAAACGAAAATTGATAGCTTTTGAGGATTTGAGCGATGAAGAAAAAGCATCCGAAATGCTTTCGTGGTTCATACCAGATGATTTAATCCTAAATGTTGTGACAAAAAAACGTAAAATAGAATCTGCGAGTTTTAATGTAGATGATAAAACTGTCACGGATGCGATTAAGAATACAGACGACGATGTCATTCAAGCATTGGAAAAATTTTGTGAACCAACGGCATACAAACGCTTGAATGACATCGTCGAAAAGAAAAGGAAAAGAATTACAATCAAGTGTGGTACGTGTCAAAAACCTCGACGATTAACAAAAACAATGATTACATGTAAGCGATGTCTTCTTTGGTTCGATTGGCCCTGCGTTAACGTTAAGAAAGAACCAACAACTGCTTGGTTTTGTAGTAGCTGTTCTAAAAGTTAGAGATGTAACGTGTATGTACACTCTATGAAAGAATATTGTAATATAACAATATTGTAATTTTAATTTAGTTGTCATTTAATTGTAAATAAACAATGAAAGAATGTGGCTTCCTTACTCCAGTCGAGTATAACACTCAAAGTTCAGTGTTCCTTAATATTTTCATTTTTGGATATGGTTTTCGTTCAGGTTTTTCAAACAAAATTTTTATGCAATTATAATTTTAACAAAAATAAATTATATCTTGCAAATAACAGTTTTAGTAAATTTTAATTAAAGTACTTATAATTTATTTCACTGATTTGTAATTTATTTTATAAACATTATTTTAAAAACAACTTCACTGAGTAGTCGTGCTATCACTCAAAGTTGAGTGTTAACACTCAAAGTTTAGTGTTAACTTGAGTTAAGAAACTTCTGATTATTTTCTGTAGGTTAGTAATCGAGTGTCTTCGAGTGGCATAAGAAATACGGCAACGTCGCATATTTCCATCAGATTTTCGAGTTTCGCGTGTCGTCGAGTGTCGCGTTTTTCGAGTTTTTCGAGTGTCGCGTTTCGCGTTTCTTCGCGTTTTTGTGTCTCGTTAGTCACTTCCGAAAAAGAATAAGGGTTCCGCTCAAAAAAAAATTAAACGTACCGTAAGCCGATTGTTTAGTATAAAATGCATTTGCTGAATTTCATCCGCTAAAATTTCTACTTTGTACCATATTATATGACGTACAGGTCAGATCCACGTAACAAGATGACAGTGACGATATGTCAATGTTGTCGGATTATAACGAACTGTGCGTCCATTACATTTGCGGAGTTTAAACAACGTTTCAGATTGTAACTCGAAATAATATATACTCACTGGTTTTTACTGGCTTTGTCTAAAATTTTCCTTTTTATTTATTTATTTAATTATAAAAGATATCAAACTTCTTTAAGTTTTATGTTTGTTTTTCACTTATTTCTTTACTTGCAAAGATTAGCATAGTTCAATCATACCATAGATTTTGCCAATGTTTTTTTGAGATTAAACCCTAAATAATGTAAAAACAAAAATGGGGTTTGCATTCTTTGTAAGAAATACGTAACTTCCTGAATTTTTCTTATAGAAATTAATAGGTAATTGCATATAAAAGAAAAAATCTTACAGACGGACAAAGCTGAAGCCGTTGGCGGGCTAGTAATATAGTAATGTTACTATTAATCTTATATACAACATACAGGAAAACCTTAGTGTCCAGAAATGGAAAAT